TCTTCTTCCTCTTGTTGCTGATCCCCCTCCTCGTTTGTTTTAGGTGGAGACTGGAAACTTGCAGCAAACCTCGCAACAAACTCAATGACGTTTTCAACTGCAGGTTCACGCTTGTAGACAATCATTGCATACTTCAGGTAGTGCGCAAACTCCTCATGGAACAGTGATTTATCCTCAAGCTGAGGGAAGAGACAGAGGAAAGAAGGGTCCATGCTTATGAGATCAATAATAAGAACCCAGGTCAACTGAAAGACTTATTTAACAATCCAGACATCTCAGTTAATCTGAGATTGGTATGCTTTCTGTCAAACAGTTTAACACAAACAGCTTGCAAGCACTTCAAACTTCCAGAAACTTAAGCAAGAAAGAAGAAAGATGGAGCTGCCAGACAGGAGAAAAAGAGGAAGACCACAGAGAAGATTCAAGCACGTAGTAAAAGAGGATATACAGAGAGTACCGATAGATGTGACGGAGAATGAAAACCTGTGTACAAGCTTTAATTTCACTTTACTGTATTTCTTCCATATCTAAGAAGAAAGCGCATTTATACATTCTCGTATAAACTGAGTTATTTTAGCATATTAAACAATGCACTCATTAATCCAGGATAATGTGAAAGACATTTAGGAAGAGACTGATAAGAAAGCATTATCTCGTACCTTGTTATAGCGGCTCTTGAGGCTCGCCACCAGCTTTGCCTTGTTATTGTGGCCCTTCTGAGCTCGCTGAAACGCCTCCTTGATGTCTATTTCGTTGTCCGCCGTCATCTTTCCTTCGCAGAAACCTAAACGAATACAGACAGCGATACAATGAGCCGAAGCAGGCTTACCTAGAGTAAACTCTGCTGTCAGAAATGTCTCTATTAGCTAGCAGTAAAGGAAGCCGCCTGATGGTCTCTGGAGTCTCATTAGCTTCCTAAACCCACCTCGAGAGAATTACCAGTGAAAGAAGAGCCGAGAAAAAAAGACAACGCAACGTAATTAAGTCACGCACGACGAAGTCCCTAGAGAGGCGTTTTATAATTATCAGACATGAAAAGTAGTATTAAAGCCAAAAACTTAACGCGTGAGCTTTAAAACGTACCTCTTGGTTAGTTTTCTTCTCAGCGAGCAACCGCCTGTTTTTGAATTTTACTCTCGCGAGAACTGAGATGTTTGCGTACGTACGTACGTACGTCACGTGTATGGTTTATCCCTGTGTATGCCAAGCGGGTAAGCGAGTCTCCGGAGACAAAAAAAATAATTTATTTATTTATTTAATCTGATAATCGAACAATGGATATTTGACCTCTTGTCGCTGCCATATTACAATAATTGTTTTAATGAGAAAACAACATAGCAAAAGCTTCTCAAATTTTTAAATTAAAATGAGCTTGTTTCTGCCACTAAAAATAATAATAATTAATTAAATAAAAAAAAATTAAAAATGCAATCCGGCTTTCTTACTCAAAATTCTGAGTAAATAAATTTAAATTTTGAAATACTAGCCCAAAAGTTTGACTTGTGGATACCAGTATGTATGTATGCCTAATATGTTAGTCAAATATCATTATCAGTTTGTTGAATTCAATCTACCCATTGGCAAATAAGATGGCAACTGAATGATGCTGGATGTCATATTAATGTTTTACTGGGGAAATATTAAAATATAGTGTGATGAAGATATTTGGAGATTTTATTCTATAGATCAAACCCACTGAGTCTACAAAATTTAACAGATTTTGTAGACATGCAAAAATGTAATTTAAGGGTATTTTTTGATTTCCTCTGCATTATGTTTATACTTCAAAATGGCATTAGACTAATAATTATTAGTTGAGTTCTTGTGTTTGTTTGTTTTGCTAACCCTTACCCTTTTTTTTTTAACTTTATTTAGCTTGGTTTCCTGCAAGGAACTAACTGAAGTGACTAACCACTTTTATGAAAGCATCTCTTTTACTTTATAACAACCATATTAGTTCGACTGAAAACTTATTCTCCTTAAAACTATATAAATACATCAGGTAATCATGTGGATGAATTTCTGTTGTACTGATGTTTATAATTTAACCCATATGTATAATATATTTGTCATTATCATGCAGCCAGTGTCCAGGGCCACAGCTGCTGGACAGCTGTGGAGGGGACAGCTCACCCATAAGGAGGGCAGAAACATGCTTCTGCACAGGCAGAGAGGGCTCCTTATTTTATGGCATCTATTTTTGGAAATTAATTTAATATAGATGGCACTCTGTCAGACTGTTTGCTTTAGACCTGTGTGCATGTAGGCCAGGGATTATCATGAAGGTGTATTATCTTATTAAATATTTATACAATACAGGGACAAACTATCCCTGCATTAGACCACATAGCTACAGCATCGGAAGCCAGAGGGATGAAAAATACCCCTGTGTATGTCTGTAAATCCTGCAAAGGTGACAAGAAATTGTTTGAGATTCAAACTCTGAATTAACTGTAAGGTAATAAACACAGTGACTTATCATTTAGGCCTACATATTTAAAGGCTTGGTTAGCTGCTCCTAGTTTCTCCTGTTTGTTTGAGATTATGATACATAATGTGAACCACCAAAGAATGTGGCCCAATAATCAGTTTGTTTCAAACAAACTGGGCTGTCATTAGACCAAAACTGGATTTATAAAGGTGGCACAGCAACACACACTCTCTCCTGGGGAACATTTAGAAAAATGTTTATGAGGAATGTTTCAGAAACGAAGAGATTTAGGCCCAAGACGGTGCGAGTCAACTGTGTCCAACAAAATTATCAGAAAAACGTAAGTGGCACAGAAGGTCTGGCCGAAGCAGGTATTATCCTACCAAACTGCTCTGTCATAAATGTTTGTATATGTCTGTGCTTGAATAACACTCGGATGTGAGAGGGTTGATGCAAACAGCCTAAACAGGGAGGATGTTATAATGGTTAAGTTGGCTTTATATATTTCTGATATCATGTCCACTTTGTGCCATAATTCACTGGCACTGTGGAAATAGGAAAACAAAAATTAGATTTTCCATGCTCACCCACAATGGTAGATTTCTGCCTCTTCCTGAACTTGGTTTTGCTGGAGGTCTCTTCTAATTAAGGAGATGTTCTTCTCATCATTGTCGAGGGTGTGCTCATAGGAGGACCATCTGCTTGCTGAGTTTGTCTAATATTGTAGTCTTTACCTCACAATATAAAACGCCTTGAGAAAACTGCTTTTTTTGTGTGTGAAGGGTTAGTTTAATTGAATTGTATATTTTTCTAATTTTTATTGTTGCTTATTTGTGACACTTTTTATGCAAACAGCTAAAGCCAAAGGTTTTCTGGCGATCTGAAAAAGTGCCATATTATCTCAGGTATCATATCTCACCCTTCTCCAGAATAACCACACACATTTGAGTTGATCCTATCATATCAGGGTTTACTTCAGCATCAGCTTAAAGGCCAAGATGTCAAAAATCTTGCATTAGAAATTGAAGATTTGAACTTAAAAGACAGTGTTCAATAATTAACTCAAGCACTTTAACAGATAACGTGCCTTACAGGCTCAACTTTATCTGTAGATTCATCGCATTTATAAAAAGGATGCAAGGACCAAAAATGATCTATCCTTAGATAAACACAATTACAAAAACTAGACACCTCAGAATATGACATTTATCCTGTGACTGCCTGCCCTCTCTACGTCCTTTCCACCTTGGACCCCTGTGTTTTGTCATTCATTCTGTCTTCCGTGTGTATATATAGCCCTGCCCACTTTGGGAAGGGGTGAGGCACCCACCACATTGAAATTTGATCCCCACCTCCAAACATATTGTGCTATCATATCGATGCCATCACAGACAAAAAATGCAGATAAATTACAACCGGAAAAACTGTTTTCTCCCCGTCAACACATGACTGCAAATGTATATCTGTATAATGTTAAATAATATTACATGCAGTAAAATCTATTGGTTTAACAGCCTGGTTTTGAACGATGGACATCCTCTCACGTACCTTTCCTTAATTTCTTTACTGTGCAAAAAAAAAAAAGAAGAGTCCACTGTATTTTTGTCAGTAGTTACCTTTGTGCACATTAAAATCATTACAATTCACTGGATTTTCAACCAGTGTCAA